GGCTTCAGAAATGGAGGAGGAAGGAGTAGTAGGCGATTATCGAAAGCTCTGACAGCTGATTCGCACCATTGGTCCAAGGAAACCAGGCATCAATGAGACAAACAGAGACAGCGCAGAGGCACTAGTCCACAGTAAGGAGCGTCGTATGGCTCGTTGGGCGGAACACTTTCAGGATCAATTCAGCTGGCCCCCTGCTCCCGGACATCTTCCTACTCAGGTGGTGCAGGACGATCCATGGAGGGTTAGATTAGAGCCTCCGTCGGAGGCCGAGTTCCGAAACGCGATCACTGCTCTCCATAGTTTCCGGATTCCATCCCAGCTGCACTGTTTAAGGATGGAGCTGAGGTCCCCTGCAAAGCACTAATCTCCCTATTCCAACGTATCTGAAAGGAAGAGTGTCCCGGCTAACTAGAGCGAATAGATTATACAGGCAATATACGACAAGCGCAGTAGCACAGGCTGTTCGAACCATAGAGGTATTAGCCTAACGCCAGTTGTGACAAAATTACTAGCGTCGATACTCGTTCGTCGCCTCACTGTGGAAAGGGTACCTCGGAATATGGGAGAGCAGGCAGGTTTCCGCCCAGGACATGGCTGTAGAGATTATATATTCACTCTGTGGCAAGTGCTAAAGCAGCGCCACGCATATTGCAGACCTACAATAGCTGTGTTCCTCGATTTCAATAGTGCGTGAGATTCTGTCCATCAATCCATTCTGTTGGAAATAATTGCGCGGAAAGGTGTTCCCCCGAAATATGTGTACATTCTACATGCTCTATACTCGAACACTACAGGCCGCGTCAGGGTCCTAGGTGGCATATCAGATAGCTTTCCGACTACAAGTGGCGTGTCAGGGTTGTCCAATTTCCTCATTTTTGCCGTGTACTCTACCATGGAGTGTTCCCTTGCGGGATCTCACGATGTAGGCTTTGAAGTGCTGCCTGGTGAAAGGTTAGTTGATCTAGATTATGCAGACGATATCGTCTTGCTTTTCGACGATGTTGGGGCGGCACAATCAACCCTGAATAGCCTGTCCAGAGTGGTCCCATTATTTGATATACACTTCGTACCTTCAAAGTGCAAATTGTTGCTGCAGGACCACCAGCCACTTCATAACCCCTTGGTTGATCAACTCACTTATCTTGGCAGCTGCATCAGCAACGATGGGCGCATAGAAACTGAAGTCAGTTCACGCATTGCAAAGGCCAGAACTACCTCCTTGAGTCAGCGACATCTTTGGCGACAGAAGGGAGTTCCTCTCCGTTTGAAAGGCTGTGTTTATAAAGCCATAGTGAGGGCCGTTTTACTTTATGGTAGTGAAACTTGCACGGTAGCCAGCTGTTTGTGACGGTAGGTTGTTTACACAAGGTGTAGGCGACTTGACCCTAGATATTTGCTTAGGGCATTAAGGTTTTCAGGTAAGTGCCCCCTCTCTCACTTTTATTATTCTTTATTTCATAGGTCATCATGGTTGTATAGCAGCGAAGCATAAGTTCAAATGGCTGATGTACTGCTATTGATGTTGGTGAGTCTCATCTAATGCACACAATAGGGTGGATAACAGAAAACACGCTGTCGCTTTCTACCACGAACTCAACACGCGAATTCGTGTTACTAGTCCCAATAGGATTTTAGTCGTAGGGGATATGAAGGCGCTGAAGTTCAGGTAGGTTGGAGGTCTTCACAAGACTCCGAATGCATAAAAAATGGTGGGTGTCTACTGCAACGGCGCACTGAACATCGACTGTATCTTAGCAGAACAGTCTTCAGGCACAGCAGGCACCGACAGTTGGCCAACCAGAACCTAAAGAGATCACATCACCGTAAGTCTTGGAACACGTACATCCACTCGTATCACATCTTAATACGCTGCTAATTCTCTTTACCGGGAGTTGCATCAAACACTTTCCTCCGTTGATAAAAGGTAAATCTCTCTCTCGGTATGACAAATCTACCATGTCACCTGCGTACCAGGCTCACGTCTGGCCCCCTAAAGGACATTGAGTTTCGATGGAATAGTATCTCCGTTGATATGTACAACGCGGGAAGCACTGCTTTTAGATTTGCCAGAAACTATCACACCCGACACTGAATAGCCGAAAGGTTGGTTGGAACCGAAAGAAAACTTGTTGGGAATGAACATACTATGACCATATGAACTAATAAGCGCAAACTAACATGGAGCATGAGCACTGACAACAAAGCCTAATGAAACTAAATGGCCCATAAAATGGAAAAGTCAACTATGGCGGCCTTCCGGTTGATTCGCACTATAGGTTCCAGAGACAACGGATAGTAAAACAATTCGGAGCGTTGGCGCATCAATTGAAAAGAACGAACACTGCCTGAGTCGCAGCGCGGAACACTTTTGGGAGCGATTCAGTTGTTCTACTGCTCCCGGACTTCTTCGTGCTCAAGTAGTGCAGGTCTGACTGTGACCAGCTATATTAGAGAAGCCATAAAAGGCCGAGATTCGAAACAAGACCACGGACCTCAATCACATATATGCTGTTGGTCCGGATTCCGCCGCAACAGCGCTATTCAAGGGTGGTGGAGATATTCTATGAAAAGCGCTAACCCGCGTCTTCGGACAATTATGGCATAATGTGGGTGGCCTAATCAGATGGAGCGAATCGATAATAGCGGTAATATAGAAAGGAAAAGCCCTGTATTGTCCACACCGGTAGCGACAAAGTTGCGGGCTTCCATCGTTGTCTATCATACTGTGAAATGGGAATCTGCGATGGGGGGGGGGGACAGAAGACAGGCTTCCGTCCAAGAAGGATATGTATGGATCACTACGCTCTGCAGCAGCGTCACGAATACCGACTGTGACGGTGTCCTTCGATCTCAGCATCGCGTCCGTCAGCATCAGTCAATAGCCACGACTAGGTCGATGCGCTTATTCGGGAAGATTTTTGCCCTAAATATGTGAACATTTTACGTACCATGTACTCGATCGTCATATATGGCATCAAGATCTACGAAAATTGTAGGATGTCTTTAAGGCAACAAGTGGCGTTTTCCGGGTTGTCCCATTGTTCCAACTCCAGTGTGAATCTGAGAATAGAGTCCACGATGACACATTAAGTAAAAATAATTGCTTTGGTTTATCCGGGGTTGTCACCTTGTATGAAAATAAAATGCGCTACAGTCAAAAGCGGATAAACGAGCTTGAGTGGTTCTATCCTCTCATGGCTTAAAAATACAATTGCAATTTCCCGGACCAGCTGATGACCAATTCGCTTTTGGCAATGAGGAACTCGTAGCTGAAGCAGCGCTAAAGAGTGCGCGGTTTATCGAGTCACCTCACGTAAAGCGAAAGCTAGAACTTCCTTTTGAATATGTGAACCTAGAGAAGAGGATTTACTCTTCTAAAAGTCCGAGGGCACAGGGCTAAAGTGAGTCGTTCAATGGTAGTAAGACTTAGCTCTTTTGCGTCCTATGGTATTTAATCATTCGCTGTGTATTGTAAAATGGCACCAGTGTATTCGCAATGACGGTGTGTGCAGATAAATACTAGGGAATGATGACCCGAGTAGTCCCTTTGTGTGGCAAATAATAATGAATGATTTGCGTTGGCATGGGCACCTGCTACGCTGGCCCTGTCACCGCCTAGCCAGAGGGCCTTTGTTTTATTTACTGAATGTGGTATGGCGTATAACCCGAAGGGGGGGGGCAAAGTTGAGATGGTAGTGGAAAAAGTTGCTGGCAACTAAACTGGATGGTGTTGTTCAGGAGTACTTTCCAGGCTGTAGTCCAAGCAACCAACCATGTGCTTGGCTAGAAACTATACAGGACATGACTCGCATCATCGACACCTGCTGTCATATCCTAGTGGAAGCACCTGTTTAAAATGTGTCCAGTACTGCGTGACCTGCAGAGTAATGGCTGATCCAAATGTGGAGCTGTAAAAGTCGAATACAAGATTTCTAGCTGATGTCGCTTCATCATCGCGACCGTGTTACTGACGAGGTGTAAGCGCCCTAATCCTGAACGTTTGGTCGGGAAGTTTAGGAGTTGTACCAGGCCCTTTATCTCTACCTAGTTTTATTCTTTATTCCCTAGAACATGATAACTTCATTAAAGCAAAGCATCAGCCAAAATTACTGATTTAATGCTGTTGATGATGTATGAAAGGTACAGATGTAGTAGGTCGTCTGGACTGACGCCGTTCCAATGTCACACGAGTGTAACTCTACAATGTTCTACAGGTGTTGAAGATAGATTTCACTGATTTAGGACAGCCGATGTCCAGTGAACTAGCGAAGCATGCGATCGCATGTGCTCTAGAGGCCTCTGTAACAATGTCAACGCTTGGTGATCATTATCAGAATTTCATTAGCACGAAACGATAGATGAAATGAGTATAGACAACGAATGCATCAGCAAACAGGAGAGGACGTCCTTTGGTACAGAGACTGTGACAACTTGATTGGCTGATCGTAAAGGGTCAGGGAGCAGGATGGGAGCATTTGAAAGCACATAACAGCCTCGACGTTGACTGAACTATGTTCTCCGTGTCAACGAACCGGTCCGCACTCTAATCGATGTCTTGAAATACAACAAACTCGAAGCGAATTCGTTGCATCGCGGACCAAATGACAACAAAGTTGGCGATATGACCAACGGTTACATATCGTAAGAGACATAAGAGCAAAGTCGGCACCACAACTTTACAGTGTGTCTGTTGTAATTTATGAGCAAAACGTAAATAGTATGTCCCAGCCGTACTGTCTATCTCTCGTCTGCCTAATCTCGCAGTTAATTGCTGGCAGTGGTTTCACCAAAGAAAGTGTCTCCACTGTTACAAACCAGTTTTTCCGCACTGTGTAACGAACATCGCCGGTTGCCTTTGATTAAGGGTGGAGAGATCTACCTACATGGTTAGTACGCGCAGCTAACCGGTGTTGAGTGAACGAGCACGTTGCTTGAGCCCTATGCTAGATGGACGTTTAATGCTTGTGGAATCCGTGAATTGAAACGGTCCACTGTAGTGCAGAAAGCTCAACTGTTGAGGAACTATGATTAAACTCCACGGCGAAAGGAAATGAGCAGCTGTAATAAATATTAGTGATATGAGATAATAAGTATATTAACTTTGCGATTTCAAATAGAGTGGATGTAAGAGTAATGATGAAAGAGTGAATAGGAAGCCAAATATGCAAATTACAGAACAGAGAAATAGTGGGATCATTTTTGCGAATACGAAGTACGATGTTGATTCGGAGAGAAGTAGGGAAATTGGCCCAGTATAACGTGGAAAAGACTTAGGATGATGAACAATGTAAAGGAAGCTCAGGGCACTGGACTGACATGCTGTCGCTGACGCGCATTAAAGTTGGATCAGTGTATAAGCCTTGAAAGAGAGTGAGTTGATAGCATGTTGTATCATTGAGTTTGACCTATAAATTGTGAGTGAGAGCGAAATGGACAGCAACACTTACCACAACCTTGTAATTCGTTCCAGCGACGACTTGAGAAGAGACGCTGATGATTTCGAAGTTAGATGGTTTGGTACCAACAAGAGTGGAAATATGCGACTGCAGCTAGACGAAAAAAAACAGCCTATGAACGGGGCAATCGCATACTTACGGCAGGGGTTAATAAAGTTCGGTGTCCAGAGCTGGGCGGGCAAGCCGGAGTGAAGCCGCCAACGAGATGCCTTCCGGAATGTCCGAAAACATCAGTTGTAAAATGACCCACCAAGAGAACACAAACCAACATAGAACCCATACTGTAGTTCGGGTGTTCAAGAGCACACTATTAAATAAAGGAAAAAAACGTTCGAAAATTAGGCGGAAACGATGTGCGCTGAATCAAACAAGCGCTTCACTGAGAGGACCATTAGACCGCTTACATTCATCAATGTCGCGATTTGTGCCCGCTCAATCAACAACTTCAATAAATCACCGCCTGTTAGAATATAGACCAAGTTTCTTAATGGTCTTTATTTGTTGTAGTTGGGAACGCAACAATGTCAGAAATAAAAACGTCCGCAGATCACTTTGTCTCGGGATTGCGACCGAAGTTAGAATGTTGAATCCGCATCATCACTAGTAACTTCAATAGAAATGAATCAATTTGCAGTAAAATACGCATTTGGATTTAATTCGTACTAACAGATACGTGTTTTGAATCGTGAAGTTATGCACTAAGACTTACCGTAAGACCGACTACGTTGCAATAACAAGATCATTCAGAACCGCTAAGTGGAGAAACCGCATAACAGAAAACTCTGCAAAACTCAGCTCGACGCTCTCTATTCTATGGACTTTATAATTTTCGCCGATGAGGACCTGTCACCTCAATGCGAGGACCTCACAGGCTGTAGTACTTTTCGTTTAAATCTGCATTGCCCTGTTGAGACATGTCTTCGGATTGGTAGATTTCCATCTCCACTACTCAAGCAACGAACAAGAAAAAACAGGTTTATAAAGATATAAGCGAAATGCCCATGTCGAATGTATGTCTGTGACTGAAAGCCGAGATAATAAAGTTAAACAGCCTACACATTGAAGTCATTTTAGGAAACCGTAGTTGCCTTGACCTATGGAGACACTTGAAGCGATCCACTGGCAAAATTGCTAGCAGCTCACTCGGTACTGGGTATGTGGACAAGTTCAACGTGTAGTTTAGCTCCTCACTTTCTACTCAAATACCGATCCTCCCACTTTATTTGAACATATCGGTGTTTACAGGGAACTCACAAGGTCAGTAGCCTTGATTCGCTGTCCACAATAGCCCAATAAGTGTGTGCGGATGTATTAAAATCACTTCCGATAGAGATTTTCAACCGATGTTTCGACTGGCATCATCTCCGATATCTGGAAAGCAGCCAGAATAACACCTGTGCTTAATAAGGAATCACAAAACTATTAACCATTAGCGTGCACCTCCGTGCTGCTGAATGTGCTTGCAAACTGACAATGCACCGTATTTCCAACAAGGAGGTTAGATATGATATCAAATGGTTTACATACAACCCAGAGCGCTCTGTATTGGATGCCGTTTCGTAACTTGTGCATTCCGTTGCGTCTACTGTGGATAAAAAGTGCAAAACTGTGCGGCCCTTGCTCTTCGATTCTATTAATGCCTCTGGAAGCATTGACAGATCATCACTATTGAGCCTTTTGTTTGAAAGCGGCGTTCCTCCATAAACATGTAATTTAATGCGTGACCACTCTACAAATTCCACACAATTCATGAAGTTATGCGGTAGGTCTTCCAAAATCACAACCAATTGTAAGGTTGCTTGTAGCAACCCAACCACCAGCGGATTCTCCAAGCCCAACTTTGCATTCGTTTCCGCTGGACCAAGCGTTTCTCGTGGATCTCAGTGGCATAGTGCTTATGGCGTCAACCATGAGCCACTAGGCTCTGAGTTCCAGCCCAACTCAGGCTATCTCCAACTGATGAGTCCCAACAGGACGAAACCGCGGTCTTGGAGTGCCAGTGTTGGGATGAGCAACACTATAATGTTTCCAATTGTAAAGTTTGCAGGAAGCTGTTTTATTCCGCTTTCTGTCTTCCCTTTATGTTGTATTTCTGCATAGACCAACTCGTTTCATCGGATGTAAATATGCTGATGACGTCGTCCTAGAGTGTAGAACCCCAGTTATTGGGGAATCTTCGAAACTCGTACGAGGATCGCACGAACGCTTGGCTTGGCCAAGCTCCCGGTCCCTCTCTTTAACACTTCTAAGTGGTTTGATGTCACACACGCTTTTCTCTGCTACGAACGACCGCGTTCTTTTCAAATACCTCTCCTTCTTTGACCATGAGTGAGCAGAGCATTCTACGTTTATATTCTGTAAAGTATCACCGTATTTTTGTCGTGCAATTTATTCTGATAGGCATAATGTTGAAACGTTTAAGATAGTCAGACGATTATCCTTTTACGCACTCAGACTCAAAATGCTTTCTGCACCGTGTGCCCTAATTCCAAGGTTTGCAAATGCATGTGTTCTCTTCTATTAAGTAAACTGTTACACAGTTGTTTCCATGGACTTATTCAAAAGGATCACACTCTGCTTGTGCGCTCACTAAAACTTATTTCCCGATGCTCTAAATTAAGCAAAAGAATCCGTCATTGATTTCACAGTTGGCAAGCATTTTGACGCACGCCCCAAGTTTTCATCCGAGGCTCTAAATGACTTCTCGCAGCCCTTACACCCAGTACGATGTCTAAGTTCATCCACGGGGACAAAAGTTAAAGCGTTATTTCCTCTCACCTCGTCATATTGCAACTCCATCTCGTCTCGCTGGTTAGCCAACCCAGAAGTAATGATGCATCAAACGCGAGAAAGTTTGCTTGATTGAAAATGAACGCTTGGTTTTCTATGTCACTTCGCACTATTTTCCCACAGATTCTATGTCGTAGGATATTCACAGTGTTAGTGTAAATTGTTGAAAATATTCCCACACAGGTAAATTAATTAATTTGACTTGAAAGGGTTTACTGACGACCACGATGACGTTGACTCCGAAGCCACTTCCGTCGTCTGCTGGCACAATAATCCGTGGCATCTCCACTGGATATCCACGTCCACTTGTGCCTACCGCATTCCGATGAGTAGTTTTCGATACGCCACACAACATCGCGCATCCCGGTATTCCACCTCAGTCAGGCTCACTTCCGACAGGTACGACTGGCCCAACGTGCAGCGCAACGTCAGAATCTGGGCACGCAACTGTCTGACTTGCCAGCAAGCAAAGGTTCATAGACAGGTTGTCGCTCCGACTGGACGCCCTCCATCAGTGTGTACCCGATTTAACCACGTCCATCTGGCCACAATAAGAGCATTGCAGCCATCCAGAAGAGCGCTCTGACCATGGTGGATCGCGCCAACTGTTAGACCAAAGCTGTTTCCATTCCAATTGTATCCACAGAGACCATAACACGTGCATTCGTTGAGCGCTGGATCGCTTCACACAGCCGTCCAGCCACTGTGACTATCGACCGCAGTCCGCAATTCGAAACCTCGACAACCAACGATCTGCTCAAGGTTTCCGGTTGTCACCGCATCCGAACTACTGGTTAACATCCTCAGGCAAACGGTGTTGTGGAACGCTTCATCGACAGTTTAAAGCCTAGCTGTGCCACCAATGCGCTCAGTAGGACGGAATTCTCGCCACCAATACTCCTCGGTATCCGACCAGCCCCGAAAACTGATTTGCAGACGTCCGGCGACTTATGGACAACAACTGAAAGTAGCATGCGACGTCTAAGACAACCCCGAGATTCCTCGCTACGGCGCGCACTAAGCCCGGCAGCTTGTCACGCGCAAGCGCCACAACAAACCGACCGACGTACGGCAACAGCATCGTAAACATTTTGTTACCCGAGCTCTCCGTCGTTGTCCATGTCTTCGGACGCGTGATTGGTCTACAGAGACGACTACAGCAACCTTACGAATGTTCGTTAAAGGAACATCAGCGTAACGGTTGCTTCTTTGCCATCAAACGCAATGGCAAGCGAGAAACTGTCACCGTTGACCGCCACAAAGTCGCGTACGTCGAAGCAAAGGTGAACGATGACCTCTGCCCTCCGTCGAATCGACTCAACCGATGGTGGAGGAGATGACTCCTGCGGCTACCAACAACGGTTCAAGCGGAAACCCACCAACCAAATCCTCCGACTCTATCATGTCTAGCTCTGGTCATGGAGTTCACTGACAGACAGGCATTTCAGAACGTTAATTTTGCATTTTGATCTTAACAGCACTTTTAGGTATATCGTCCCAATATCTTTTGAAAGCCGCGAAAAAATACATGGCGTTTTCAGACTTCAAAAAGCAACCCGTTCCCTATTTTGCATTGCAACGTTTGATCTCTACGGTAAGTGACAACCACGATTTTTCGTACTGTGTGGTCACTGACGTCACGTGATATCATTCTGTTACAGATTCGGAACCTTCGGACCGCTTGTAGTAGACCAGAAACGCTGAAACTTGGACGTTGCCGAACGCTGTTCCCCCTACCATTTTTCCGTTTCGACACTGCTAGAGAGAACACGGTGTGAGCCCGTTAAGTTTTGATCACATTTGTGCTCCCGCAGCAGCTGCATCAAGTTCACGTGGTCTCAGAGAAGGCTGGCCAGCAACGAACAGTCCTCACATAGGTCAGCCACGATTCCCTTTTATGAGAAGGGCTGTTTAGCGACCCGACGATTCCTCGTTCGCTTAAGGTATGATGGCAAGATTCGTCTAAAATAGTTTTACCGTGTACCCATGGAATGTAACGTATTTGTTTGTGGTCGCGTGTATGCAGCTTTGGAATAGCTCGGCATACATACGCGTCGTCCTCAACTTCGAAAGACATTCGCCCTTCCTTGAGTTACTGCCTATTCGAAAATGACGTTATAGCTAGCCTGGTATATATGCGTCGTCATAGTCAAAGTTTGGACCCCCTGTATGCAAGGCATCTAAATAAACCATCTTAGTGCTCATTATTAATGATCCTATTAATCAGCAGAGTTGTGGTGATTGGTTGCCTTCGCGTTGCGCCATAAAGGTAAAGTTAAGCTTCGTTTTCGTCACTATAACAGCATACGTTTCCGGTACTATGAACGACAAGATATTTCGCGAAGCTCGATCATTATTCCGCGTTTTGACACTGCTGGATGATAAAGATAGCCATTTTATAACGTTCACCACTCTGCCCGAGCTACGCACGTAAAGTGCCCCGATAATATTGGCCTATTTCTCGGGCCCACCTTGCCTTGACAGACAGACCCAAGAACATACTGATTCACCAAATCAAAGGCACCCTAGAAGTTGTAAAACACACCAACAGTTGGCTGCCAATATATGTGGCGGTGCTAAAACAACTGACATAAATTGAAGATGTGATCAATGAAGCCCA